ATCAATAGCCTTTGTATACACAAACAATGCCATGGCTGAGAAAGAACTTGTAAGGTCAGTACCATTCACAATAGCTACAAAAAATTTTAAATACCTTGGGATAAATTTAACCAAGGATGGGAAAGAACTCTACAAAGAAAATTGTAAAACATTAAGGAGGCCAGCACCGTGGCCCACTTGGCTAATCCCCTACGCCTGCAGCACCGGAATCCAGGGTTCTAGTCCTGGTTGGGGCGCCGGATTCTGTCCCGGTTGCTCCTCTTCCAGTCCAGCTCTCTGCTGTAGCACGGGAGGGCAGTGGAGGATGGCCCAAGTGCTTGGGTCCCTGCACCCGCGTGGGAGACCGGGAAGAAGCACCCAGCTCCTGGCTTTGGATCGGCACAGTGCCGGCCATGGCAGCCATTAGGGGAGTGAACAAACGGAAGGAAGATCTTTCTCTCTGTCTCTCTCTCACTATCTATCTATCTCACTCTCTCTCTGTCTCTCTCTCTCACTGTCACTATCTCACTCTCTGTCTCTCTCTCTCACTGTCTAACTCTGCCTGTCAAAAAAAAAAAAAATTACAGAAAGAAAGAGAAGACACCAAAAAATAGAAAATTTTTCCATGTTCATGGATTGATAGAATTAATATCATCAAAATGCCATACTACTCAAAGTAATTTACAGACTCAATGCAATCCCAATCAAAATATCAGATCTGGAAAAAATAACTCTAAAATTCATGCAGAGTCACAAGAGACCCTGAATAGCTAAAGCAATGCTAAACAATAAAAACAAAGCTGGAGGCATCACAAGACCTGATCTCAAGACATTACCAGGGTTGGCGCCACGGCTCACTTGGCTAATCCTCCGCCTGCGGCACCGGCACCCAGGGTTCTAGTCCCTGTTGGGGCGCTGGATTTTGTCCTGGCTGCCCCTCTTCCAGTCCAGCTCTCTGCTGTGGCCCGGGAGTGCAGTGGAGGATGGCCCAAGTACTTGGGCCCTGCACCCGCATGGGAGACCAGGATAAGTACCTGGCTCCTGGCTTTGGATCGGTGCAGCGCACTGGCCGCAGCAGCCATTTGGGGGGTGAACCAACGGAAAGGAAGACCTTTCTCTCTGTCTCTCTCTCTCTCACTGTCTAACTCTGCCTGTAAAAAAAAAAAAAAAAAAAAAGACATATTACCAGGCAGTTATAATCAAAACAGATTGGTACTGGCACAAGGACAGACACGTTGACCAATGGAACAGACTAGAGATCCTGGAAATTAATCCGTGCATCTACAACCAACTAACATTTGACAAACGAGCTAAAATCACTCCCTGATGAAAGCACAGTCTCTTCAACAAATGGTGCTGGGAAAACTATATCTCTGCATATAGAAATATGAAGCAAGACCCCTACCTTAAACCCTATACAAAGAGCAACTCACAATGGATCACGGACCTAAATTAAGACCTGAAACTATCAAATTACTAGAAAAAAACATAGGGAAACACTGCAAGACATCGGCATAGGCAAAGATTTCTTGGATAAGATCCCAGCAGCACAGGCAATACAGGCAAAAATAGACAACTGGGATTACATGGCGCTAAGAAGATTCTGCATAGCAAAGGAAGCACTCAACAAAGAGGCAACTGACAGAATGGAAGAAAATATCTGCACACGATAGATATGATAAAGGGTTAACATCTATGATAGATAAGGAGCTCAAGAAATTCAATAACAACAAAACCAATAATCCAGTTAAGAAATGGGCTAAGGATATGAATAGGCATTTTTTCAAAGAATTAAGTACAGATAGCCAACAGACACACAGAAAGATGCTCAGGATCACTAGCCATCAGGGAAATGCACATAAAAACCACACTGAGATTTTACCTCATCCCAGTTAGAATGGCTATCATCCAAAAATCAAAATATAACAAATGCTGGTGAGGATATAGGGGGAAAGGTACCCTAATACACTGTTGGTGGGAATGTAAAAAAATACAATCATTATGGAAGACAGTATGGAGATTCCCCAGAAACCTGAAAATAGATCTATCATATGATCCAGCCATTCTTTCTGGAAATTCACCCAAAGGAAATGAAATCAGCATATGAAAGAGTTATCTGTATTTCCATGTTTATAGTAGCTCAACTCATAATAGTTACGACATGGAATCAACCCAGATATACATCAATTGACAACTGGATAAAGAAATTATGGTATATATACACTGAAATACTACTCAGCTGTAAAAAAGAAAAAAATGAAATCCCGTCTTTTGCAACAAAATGGATGCAACTGGAGACCATTATGCTTAGTGAAGTAAGACAATCCCCAAAAGACAAATGTTTTCCCTGATTGTGGTAACTAAGGTACAGAATATGATTGAAATTGACATTTTGAGATTTGATGATTGTTTACAGCTGTTGTCTATACTCTTGCGGAACAGTGGTTTTTCTACTTACTGCTTATTGAATTCTTTATTTAGTGGAGGATTAAACTTGTGATTATAAAGAAAATTCAAAGTATGTCAATGTGAAAATTAAAAGAAAAAATGGTACGTGCAAGGGAGGGAGACAGGATAGGGTGGGAAGTATCACTATGCTCTTAAAACTGTATATTTAAAATATATGAAATTTGTTCCCTTTTTATCAATTAAAATTTTTTTTTTGACAGGCAGAGTTAGTGAGAGTGAGAGTGAGAGTGAGAGTGAGAGTGAGAGTGAGAGTGAGAGAGAGAAAGGTCTTCCTTTTTCCATTGGTTCACCCCCCAAATGGCCACCATGGCAGTGTGCTGGGCTGATCCGAGGCCAGGAGCCAGGTGCTTCCTCCTGGTCTCTCATGTGAGTGCAGGGCCCAAGCACTTGGGCCATCCTCCACTGCACTCCCGGGCCACAGCAGAGAGCTGGACTGGAAGAGGAGCAACTGGGATAGAACCGGCGCCCCAACTGGGAGTAGAACCTAGGGTGCTGGTGCTGCAGGTGCAGCCTAGTGAGCCACGGCACCGGCCCAATTAAAAAAATTTTAAAAGACGTATTATGTTAGATATATCTATCAGATATTCAAGTAGAAATGTCAAATAGCTAGTTGGATATGAGTCTGGGGTTCAGGGAAGAGATGTGGCTAGAGACATAAATCAGCAGATAGATAGTATTTGAAGCCATAAAACCCATGTACATGCACAAAGAAGTACAGATAGAAAAGAAGTCCAGGGACTAATACCTGGGATAACCTAACTCTAAGATGTTGGGAGAAAAGAAGAAGAATCAGCAGAACAGACTAAGAAAGAATGACTTGAAGAGGCAGGTGAAAAACTAGAGACTTCATTTGAATGTGGTCTATCTATTACTACAGCTTTCATCTTGTGAAAACTGCTTCATCTCTTCACACCTTGATTTTCCTTGTCTATACAACAAACATAACACTAATTATCTCTTGTAACTGTTATAAGAATTAAATGAAACTAAGTATAGGAAAATGGTTAACACACTGACTGTTAGAACTCCCCATGTGCTAAATAAATGGTAGCTACGTTAAATCTTAGCTCTCTTCTAGTACAGTCATTTATTCTACCACTTAACAGGAAATGAACCACAAACTGGAATTTAAAAAGAAGACCGACAAAGGCATTAGCAACCTTTTATAGTAAGGCCACAATTTACCACTTTACCCTAAACGTAACTTTTCCTCTATCTATAAAGTAGCCCTTATCAAAATGTTTGTTTGATTTTCCTTGAACACACCCTATATCCAGCCTCCATGCTTGTCATGTTGTTCTCTCTTTTCCTATATGCTTGGGAAAATCAGAGCCTATTTACTGAAGGCATACCACAAATGCCATGTCCTATGTTGAAATCATCACCATTTACCCTTAATGTGATCTCCTTTTCCTTTACCAAAATTTTATTTATGAAGAGGCTGAGAGAGAGAGAGAGTGTGTGTGTGAGTTAGCTCCCATCTACTGATTCATTCCCCAAATGCCTGCAATGGTCAAGGGCTGAAGCTGGGAGCCAGGAACTCAATCCACGTCTCCCATGGTCTGAATGAACAGAAAGCTGGAATCAGGAGCTGGATTCAAACCCAGGAATACCTATGTAGGCCATCTTAACTGCTTAACTGGCCGCTTAACTGCTAGGCCAAATACCTGTTCCTTACTAGCCTTTTTCTATGCTTATAATCCTTAATTTGTCACAATCAGCAAATGTGCATACTGAACAACTCATTTTACAGTCATTAGGAAAATTAAAAGATCTCATTTTTTAGAATGATACTGAAGTACTTCATATTTGAGTTTTCTTCCTATTTTCTACTCTCCCACACAGTAACTAGAATGCTTATCTGTTTTGTTTTTAAAGGAATAGTGAGAAAGGAGCAGTTACTTAGTCGAAAAAACATTTAGACTCCATGTGACCTAGGTTTGAATCTTGGCTTCGCTTGGTTTAAATTGAGTGAAATGCATAATCTTGAACAAGTTACTTGTGGTCCTCAGTTCCTTTATGTTTAAAATGGTAATATTACTTAAAAGATTATTAAAAGAATAAATGAAAAATTAAGATACCAAAAATAAAGTATGAAGATTGTATGGTAGAATAACATTTTGTTTTTCCCTGTACTAGTAACAGAATCTATTTGTATTTGTAAAGCAATTTTCATTATCTACTGGAAGACACTAATCTTTTAATTTAGGCCAAGATTCCTAAGAGTCAATGCTGACTTTGATGCTGCCGGGCAATACGAACTTTTACAAAACAAAAAGCTTTTATTGGTTTTACTGATATTAGGTAGAGTACATATTGTAGTAAGATCTTTAACATGAATAATAAACAAAATAATGAAGGGGAAGAAAAAAAGAAAGTGATATGCAAATGCTTGTCACTATTATTATCGGTAGATAACAATTGGATATAATTAAGTAATATTTTTAAAGCTATAATTTGTAGAGCAAATATATTTGAAGACAGAAAAAAAAGAATCTTAATTAGAAGGAAAATGCTGAACATTTAATGAAACAGACAAATGAGTTGTTTACCTGAATCACTTGCTGCAACCACAACTGTTCCACCAGGCGCAAAAGGATCATTATGTTTCAGTGTTTCTACCTAAACAGATCACAAAAATCCATCACTCAGAGAAGCAGCATTTCTGTCTTATTTTTTAATTTTAAATTTTTTTATTTATTTGACAGAGTTACAGATAGTGAGAGAGAGAGACAGAGAGAAAGGTCTTCCTTCCGCTGGTTCACCCCTCAAAAGGCCGCTATGGCCAGAACTGCATCGATCCGAAGCCAGGAGCCAGGTGCTTCCTCCTGGTCTCCCATGGGGTGCAGGGCCCAAGGACTTGGGCCATCCTCCACTGCACTCCTGGGCCACAGCAGAGAGCTGGCCTGGAAAAGGAGCAGCTGGGACTAGAACCCAGCGCCCATATGGGATGCTGACGCCACAGGCAGAGGATTAACCAAGAGAGCCACGGCGCCAGCCCCATTTTTTATTTTCTTTTTTAAAAAATATTTATTGATTTATTTGGAAGGCAAAGTTACAGAGAGAGAAGGAGAGCCAGAGAGACCTTCTATCCGCTGCTTCACTCTTTACTCCCCAAATGGCTGCAAAGGCCAGGGCTGGGCCAGGCTGAGGCCAGGAGCTTTAACTGGGTCTCACATCTGGGTGGTAAGGGCCAACCCTTGGAGCCCTTCTGCTGCTTTTCCAGGCACATTAGCAAGGAGCTGGATCAGAAGTACAGCAGCCAGGACATGAACTGGCACCCATATGGGATACCAGTGTCACAGGTGGCAGCTTAACCTGCTATACCACAATACCAGTCCAGAGAAGCAACATTTCATAGCTGATACTTCTTTGCCACTGCAAAAAAAATATTCCTTAAAAACTCTAGGAAATATTAACATTTGGGACAAATGTTTCCCTAGTGATTTGTAACCCTAACAGAAATGATACATATTATTTTCAATCTTTTTCAATTGTCAAATATAGCATTTCTTCAGAAAAGTTCATGAAAAATATTTATAGATTAATAAGTCTCAAGTGAACACCTGTGTGGTCATCTCCCAGTGAACTGTCAATACCTCAGAAGCCTTCATGTGTACGCTTCCAATTCTAATCCCAGCCCTCCTCCAAAGAGTTAACTGCCATCCTGCCTTTGGTAGTATTCTTTTTCCTTCATAATTTTGCTACTCATATATAAATGCTATTTTATTTTGAAATAATTTAGACTTATGGAGAGTCCCCACACATACTTTACAAAGGATCTTCTAATATTAGTATCTCATTTCATGAGAGATTATTAAAACTAAGGGATGAGGGGCTGGCATTGTGGTGCAGCGGATAAAGCTACCACCTGCAATGCCAGCATCCCTTAGGAGCATCAGTTCATGTCCTGCTTGCTTAACTTCCAATTCAGCTCCCTGCTAATGCACCTGGGGAAAGTAGTGGAAGACGGCCCTATTGCTTGGGCCCCTGCCAGCCAGATGCAAGACCTAGCCCTTGGCTCCTGGCTTCAGCCTGGCCCAGCCCCGGCCATTGCAGACATTTGGGGACTAAACCAGAGGGTGGAAATCTCCCTCTCTCTTTGTAACCCTACTTTTCAAAAAAAATAAATCAACTTTTAAAAAAAGAAAAAACTACTAAGGAATGAGGGGTTGGTGAGTGGTGCAGCAGATTAAACTGCTGCTTGCAATGCCAACATCCTTTTATCAAAGTGTTGTTTTAAGTCCCAGCTGCTCCACTTCCAATCCAGCTCCCCGCTAAAGTACCTGGGAAGGCAGCAGAAGATGGCTCAAGGATTTGGGTCCCTGCCACCCATGTGAGAGAACAAAATGAAATTTCAGTTCCTATCTTTGGCCTGGCCCAGTTCCAATACCATTCAGGGAATGAACTTGTCTCTGTTTCTGCTTTTCTGTATCTATTTCAGATAAGTAAAATTTAAAATAATAATAAAGAAAAAATCCTAGGGGCTGGCGCTGTGCGGTAGTGGGTAAGGCCACTGCCTGCAGTGCCAGAATCCAATATGGAAACCAGTTCGAGTCCTGGCTGCTCCGCTTCCAATCCAGCTCTCTGCTATGGCCCAGGAAAGCAGTAGAAGATGGCCCCAGTCCTTGGGCCCCTGTACCCATGTGGGAGACCCAGAAGAAGCTCTTGGCTCCTGCCTTTGGATCAGTGCAGCTCTGGTCGTTGCAGCCAATGCGGAATGAACCAGCGGATGGAAGACCTCTCTTTCTCTCTCCCTCTCCCTCTGCTTCTCCTTCTCTCTCTGTGTAACTCCGACTTTCAAATAAATACATCTTAAAAAAAAAAACCTAAGGAATGAACACTAGCACAGAACTGTAAACTACCAACTTCATTTGAATTGCACCAGTCTTTTTGTTACTGTCCTTTTATTTTAAATGAATTCATCACTGTTTTCTAATCTCTTCACAACCAGTTTCATTTTTAAAAATATATAATCCTGGCCGGCACCGCAGCTCACTAGGCTAATCCTCTGCCTGCAGGGCGGACACCCCAGGTTCTAGTCCTGGTTGGGGCGCCGGGTCCTGTCCCGGTTGCTCCTCTTCCAGTCCAGCTCTCTGCTGTGGCCCGGGAGTGCAGTGGAGGATGGCCCAAGTGCTTGGGCCCTGCACCCGCATGGGAGACTAGGAGGAAGCACCTGGCTCCTGGCTTCGGATTGGCGCAGTGCACTGGCCGTAGTGGCCATTGGAGCGTGAACCAACAGAAAAGGAAGACCTTTCTCTCTGTCTCTCTCACTGTCCACTCTATCAAAAAAAAAAAATATATATATATATACATACATATATATACATATATATATATATATATATAATCTATTTATTTATTTGAGAGGCAGAGAGATACACAGAAAGTTCTGATCTGCAGGTTCACTCCCCAAATGCCTGCAACAGCCCCTGACTGGGGGCAAAATCAAGAACTAGGAACTCAATACAGGTCTCTCCTGTGAGTGGCAGGAATGCAATCACTTAAGTCACCGCCACTGCCTCTCAGGGTCTGTGTTAGCAGGAAGGAGCCAGAGCTGGTACTTGGACTCTGATGTGCATATATTAGCTTTTAAGCCAAACAGCCATCCAGGATGATCTTTTTCTATTCTAGGACATGATGTCACATTTAAGATGCACACTGTTCTAACTTTTAAATATCTTAGTACTTACTATCAGCATTTCCACTTTCTGTTGTTTAAAAAATAACTGAATTGGGGCCGGCGCCACGGCTCACTAGGCTAATCCTCCGCCTTGCGGCGCCGGCACACCGGGTTCTAGTCCCGGTCGGGGCGCCGGATTCTGTCCCGGTTGCCCCTCTTCCAGGCCAGCTCTCTGCTGTGGCCAGGGAGTGCGGTGGAGGATGGCCCAGGTGCTTGGGCCCTGCACCCCATGGGAGACCAGGAGAAGCACCTGGCTCCTGGCTCCTGTCACCGGATCAGCGCGGTGCGCCGGCTGCAGCGGCGGCCATTGGAGGGTGAACCAACGGCAAAGGAAGACCTTTCTCTCTGTCTCTCTCTCTCACTGTCCACTCTGCCTGTCAAAAAAAAAAAAAAAAAAAAAAAAAAAAAAAAAAAAAAAAACACACACACACACACACTGAATTGTATAATTTTTTTGACAGGTAGAATTAAGACAGTGAGAGAGACAGAGGCAGAGACAGAGACAGAGACAGAGACAGACAGAGAGAAAGGTCTTCCTTACGTTGGTTCACCCCCAAATGGCCGCTGCAGCCGGTGCGCTGCGCCAATCTGAAGCCAGGAGCCAGGTGCTTCTCCTGGTCTCCCATGCGGGTGCATGGCCCAAGTACTTGAGCCATCCTCCACTGCCTTCCCTGGCCACAGCAGAGAGCTGGACTGGAAGAGGAGCAACCAGGACAGAATTTGGCGCCCCAACAAGGACCAGAACCCAGGGTACTGATGCCGCAGATGGAGGATTATCCTAGTGAGCCACGGCGCTGGCTGAATTGTAGAATTTTGAGACACACACACAGAACTCTCTGCTTAAGAGATCCTGTTTCATTCAATAACAGGCAATGTTGAAGTCTGGCATCAATGGTAAGATCAAGTGGGTACAATAGGTAAGGACTTCACCTGAAACCAGAGATTTCTGCTATTGAACTGTCTTCCTATTTTATAGTTTGGCTTTTAAAAATTTAGTTATTTTATTTGAAAGGGATAGAGACAGAGAGAGATTGTCCATCTGCTGGTTTACTCTTGGAATGCCCACAATATCTGGGCCAAAGCTGGTAGCTTAGAAATCAATCTAGGTCTACCACATGGGTGGCGCCCTTGAGCCATCATCACTTGCTACAACCTAGCATATGCATTAGCAGGAAGCTGAAATTGGAAGCAGGGTTAGAATTCAAACCCAGGCACTCTGGTATAGGTTGCAGGATATAAGGTATAGGATGCTTATAGGATATAAGCAGCATCTTAACCACTGTGCCAAACACCCACCCTGAAACATTAGTTTGCAATTACAGTCAAACAAATTGTGTATTTAGGAAGATAAGTTAAAATTTCTCTGACACCAGGTTCTTTTGAAGGGACATGTTAAAAGCCTTGGAAAATAGTTAAGTAAAAAGAGTGTGGAAAGAGTTCATGAACCCAACTCTGACTCATGGTTATCAATATTGTCTCTATTGTATAGACTCTACTTCCAGTCATCAAGAAGTTGGATATTATAATTGAAATGTCAAAGGATTGGGCCTGACACTGTGGCAGAGCAGGTTAAACTACCTCCTGTAACACTGGCATCCTGTACTGGTTCGAGTCCCAGTTGTTCTACTTCTGATCTAGCTCCCTGCTAATGTGCCTGGGAAGGCAGTAGAAGATGGCACAAGTGCTTGGGCCCCTGCTGCCCACATGAAAGAGTAGGATGAAGCTTCTGGCTTTTGCCTGGCCCAGTCCCATCCAATGCAGCCATTTGGGAGTAAACCAGTGGATGGACGTTCACGTGTGAGCTCTCTCTCGCATACTTGCTCTCTCTCTCTCTATTTCCTTCCCTCCTTCCAACTCTGCCTTTCAAGTAAGCCTTTAAAAATCTTTTTTAAAAAAACTACACCCATTGGAGAAGAAAGACAAATTTTCAAGTAGTAGG